TAATTCTTCTTGTTTTCCCAGCTTTTCCTTCTTCAAAAACCTAATTTACTTATCCTTAATCATATGCTCCCTCCCCTTATTGTTTACCTAAAGAGTACAACTTTTATTTGCTGCAATCTCTGATTTATGCACTTCAAATTCAGATAACCAAATCTGCATTTTTTGACTTAGATTTTTAAAAGAGTAATTTTCCGCATACGAATTGATACTGCATGTTAATATTGCTCTGAAAAGTGGAACGCAATGCACTTTTAAATGAAGAAATTGTGTTCTTAATTGGAAATTTTTTAAAACAAAGAACATATGAAAATGAAATTGAAACAGAGTATATATTTGAAGTGGTTGTAGTTGATTTTCAAGATAGCAGAGAAATTTTAAAAGCTGATTTCGAAATAGAATATCATTGTGAAGCTTATTTTAATGTGCGTAGTCATACTTCTGGGGCTGGTTTTGAAACAATAAGGACTCACTTTGATCTATTTTAAATAAAATTTGTTCAGAATGTGTAGTCTGTGTAGTAAATATGGGTTAGCACTTTGTTTTTAAGGTAATTAGAGAACTCAAGCTATAAGTGTGTATTTCCTTTCTAAAAAATAACAATAACATATCCTTTTCCATATGTGTTCAATGACTGATTGGCCTTCAAAAGTTTTACAAATTGTAGTACATTGAGGCGAGTTTATATTGAATTCAGCAAACACTCAATCTCAAGACTTAGAAAAAGACATATTAAAAAATTATAGCCAAATGTGTATCTTACCAGAGCCCGAGGTATTGGTACTTAATAGAAACCTGCAACAAGAACCAATAGTGTTAAAACGACTTATATAGGCAACGATTAGGTGCAACGACTTATAATGAGAAATTTTAGAAGCTGATTTTGAAATAGATATTCATTGTGAAGCTTATTTTAAGATGAGTAGTCATACTTTAGGGGCTGCTTTTCAAACAATAAGTACTCACTTTGATCTCCTTTAAATAAAATAGGTTCACTTTGATACTGAATGTTAATATTCATTTGAAAAGTGGAACGCAATGCACTTTTTAATGAAGAAATTATGTTCTTAATTGGAAATTTTTTAAAACAAAGAATATATGAATATGAAATTGAAACAGAGTATATATTTGAAGTTGTTGTAGTTGATTTTCAAGATAGCAGAGAAATTTTAGAAGCTGATTTCGAAATAGAATATGATTGTGAAGCTTATTTTAATGTGCGTAGTCATACTTCTGGGGCTGCTTTTGAAACAATAAGGACTTACTTTGATCTATTTTAAATAAAATTTGTTCAGACTGTGTAGTCTGTGTAGTAAATATGGGTTAGCACTTTGTTTTTAAGGTAATTATAGAACTCAAGCTATAAGTGTGTATTTCCTTTCTAAAAAATAACAATAACATATCCTTTTTCATATGTGTTCAATGACTGCTTGGCCTTCAAAAGTTTTACAAATTGCAGTACATTGAGGCGAGTTTATATTGAATTCAGCAAACACTCAATCTCAAGACTTTGAAAAAGACATGTTAAAAAATTATAGCGAAATGTGTCTCTTACCAGAGCACGAGGTATTGGTACTTAATAGAAACCTACAACAAGAACCAAAAAGTGTTAAAACGACTTATATAGACAACGATTACATGCAACGACTTATAATGAGAAATTTTAGAAGCTGATTTTGAAATAGATATTCACTGTGAAGCTTATTTTAAGGTGAGTAGTCATACTTTAGGGGCTGCTTTTGAAACAATAAGTACTCACTTTGATCTTCGTTAAATAAAATTGGTTCAGACTGTGTAGTTTGTGTAATGAATATGGGTGTAGTAAATATGGGTGAGCACTATGTTTTTAAGGTAATTAGAGAAGTCAAGGTATCAGTGTGTATTTCCTTTCTAAAATAATAACAAAAACATATCCTTTTTCATATGTGTTCAATGACTGATTGGCCTTCAAAAGTTTTTAAAAATGCAGTACATTGAGGCGAGTTTATATTGAATTCAGCAAACACTCAATCTCAAGACTTAGAAAAAGACATGTTTAAAAATTATAGTGAAATGTGTGTCTTACTAGAGCCAGAGGTATTGGTACTTAATAGAAACCTGCAACATGAACCAAAAGTGTTAAAACGAGCAGTACATTGAACTCAGCAAACACTCAATCTCAAGACTTAATAGGAACCTGTAACATGAACCAAAAGTGTTAAAACGAGTTATATAGACAACGATTACGTGCAACGACTTATAATATAATGTGAATAGTCATACTTTTGGGGCTGTTTTTGAAACAATAAGGACTGGCTTTGATCTCTTTTAAATAAAATTGGTTCAGAGTGTAGGCTGTGTAGTCAATATGGGTGATCACTTTGTTTTTAAGGTAATTAGAGAAGTCAAGCTCGATGTGTGTTTTTCCTTTCTAAAAAATTACAATAACATACCCTTTTTCATATGTGTTCAATGACTGATTGGCCTATTGTAAGTCAAAACTTTTACAAATTGCAGTACATTGAGGCGAGTTTATATTGAATTCAGCAAACACTCAATCTCAAGACTTAGAAAAAGATATGTTAAAAAAGATATGTTAAAAAATAACAATAACATATCCTTTTTCATATGTGTTCAATGACTGATTGGCCTATTGTAAGTCAAAAGTTTTACAAATTGCAGTACATTGAGGCGAGTTTATATTGAATTCAGCAAACACTCAATCTCAAGACTTAGAAAAAGATATGTTAATGTATCCTTACCTCTTTTGTAAAATAGTATACATGTTTTAAACAGCTACATGGGCACCTTCTATGGATCAATGTTTTCTTCCTTATTAAATGCAACCCTTTCTTAAGCATCTTTGGGCAAACACACACGTACTGTGTGCCCAGCTATTGCAATTCATTTTACTCTATAGGCATAAATTTCAGATTCTGTGCAATCTTGAGAGATGATCAATTCAAATAGATTAAAACACCATTGTTCCAAGAGAAAATAATCAAAACTGAACATAATGCATCCATTTCAAAAATTATCATCTAAAAGCATAAATTTCTACTCTGAACACTTTAGTCATATACTGCTCAGTTATTTCTGTAATAGTGCCGCTGGGTTGGTGTTGTTGTTGTTGTAATAGTGCTGCTGCTAATGAGTAGTACATAAAATTGATGCGCACCTTCAGATTTGAGAAATGCCCCAGTCTGTTTTTCCTTGAGCATCAACATCAGTTTCCATTTATCTATTATGTAAGAGGTGATGTATAATACAATTCTGTATATATTAGTTGACAAAGATTTTATTTTGTTACTCCAGGTATTGATATTCTATTGCCCATTGCGGTATGTTGCTAATTGTTCAAGATAATCTATTGTTGCACTTGGTTCTATACATTCATACGCTTATTTTCAATTCCTTTGATAATTTCAGATTTTGAAAGTGTGACACTCACAAATGCCCAACTACATTTTGAATGCTATATGTAGTTGTAATTCAGCTTTACACATAGTGAAGCTCCTTTTACCAATTTGTTGTTGGAATTCATGTACTTTCACTTGCTTTGAATTTAACTCCAACTTTATGGGTTGGTTTTAAACTATATACCTTTTTGTGAGAAGGTGGCAAATTGATTTTTTTACTGCATAATTTTTCACTCTGTGTGTTTATGTTCAGTGTTATTTGTACACTTTAGTTTGATTTCAAAAAGTCTAAGGGATGAGAATTGAATTCATACTATTTTTAGCTAATCTTGAAAAAAAATGTTTCAGTTTGAATAATGCATGAACTAAAACAGAATTACAGAAACCTAATAGATTGAGAATACAAGTGTCAACGAAAAGGAACTTGTACCTTGCTTAAAATAAATTATACGAACAAGGATCAAAAAAATTAACTCCAAATGACTTTCTTTGTTCTTGTTTTTCTGTTTTCATGTTTTGTTTAAATGTGGTCCTAAAGTTATTGTATTACTTTTCACTTTAATGTTTCACTAAGCAAGTCTTTTGGACAATAATAAGTAATAAAAACCATTATATCATTTCCTAAAGTATCCCTTTAGGAGTTTTTTGCTCAAGCCTTTGACTAAAAGCTTTCAGTTGTATGGTTTGAAAAAAAAAATATGTAGTACAACTCTGTGTCCTCTTTTATGTGTGTTTTGAACTGAATACAACTTTACACCCATTTTATTTTATTTTTTTTTTGTCCAGAGCAAAAACCCATTTTGTTAAACAAATTTTTATATAGTTTCAAATCCCTTTTCACTACAATGAAGTACCTAAAACTTGGGCACCCACACACAAAGTGTGTGCTAAGCTAGTAGTCCTAATAGAGCGCTACAGATAGCCTTAGTGGAAGGCCGAATCAGAGCCCAAACTCAACAAAGCAAGAACAACATAGATCTTTTGGAAAACTATGGATACAAGATTCATGGTAGAACAAAAAAATTACTCCGTATTTAAGTCCTAAATAGGAAAACGACTCCTTTTATTGTCAAATATCTTTAAGACAAATTCGTTGTAAACAAGAAAATAAAACATAGGGAGTATATCTTTAGTAATTACCTACTCCGTACATCATAATTTACATTCCCAACATATACTCCGTAAATCAATATGTATGTAGTCTTAGCCCTATACAAAAATAGATTGTTTTTATTAGAGCCTTGATGCATTCACTATCCAAAACTTCATACCGAGTACAAAAAACGATACAGAAAGTCTAACGGGCGCCATTCACAATCGCATGATCTTACGGTCTCCACATTGTACATTGAACTTATCAGTTTTCTCCGGCAACAGAATCATACGCTTCATTCCTAACCTCAACCCAACTTCTTCCGGCTTCTTTCTTATTCGACGAGTTGGTAATCATATTCCTCATTTTCACATAATCTCTCCACTCACCATTAGCTGCATGAAGCTTTGAGAGCATCACATAAGTCCCTGCAACTTTTGGGTTCAAACCAAGCACTTCCTTTGCTGTCATGGTGCCAAAATCTGGAAGCTTATGAGAGAGACATGCTCCAAGATATGCTCCCCAAACCGACTCATTGGCTGCAAATGGCATTCTCTCTATCAGTTCATAGGCCTCCCTAACTCTTCCAGCACGCCCGAGCAAGTCGACAACACACCCATAGGTTTCCTGGTCCGAGACAATATTGTAACGGTCAACCATTGACTTAAAATACTTCAAACCTTCATCCACAAATCCAGCATGGCTACATGCGTGTAAAACTGCCATGAAAGCTATACGATCTGGCGTAACATTAGAACTAACCATCTCATCAAACAGTTGAATGGACTCTGTACCATATCCGTTTCTTCCATACCCAATCATCATTGAAGTCCATGAAACCAGATTTTTAACCGGTATTTCGTCGAATACTTTACGCGAACTCGTAACATTCCCACATTTTGCATACATGTCTATCAAAGCGTTGTCTATTTCCAGATTCCATACAAGGCCTCTTTGTATTATCTTCCCATGCACTTGTTCGCCGCAACTTAGAGCTGCCAAATTTGCAGCAGCAGCTACAACGCTGGAAAATGTGAAGTCATTGGGGCTTGGGGCTTCTGATTCCAAGCACAAATACAAGCTGATAGACTGCATCGGATCAGATTTTTCATACCCAGCAATTAAAGTATTCCAGCTGATTATATCAGGATATGGCATCTCATTAAAACATTGGTTCGCTTCGTCTAAGTCTTTTCCCCTGCAATACATGTCCAGAATGGAGTTCATAACAGGCACGTTAGAATCAAACCCATGTTTGATTACCACAGCGTGGAGATGTTTTCCGCATGAACATGGGCTGATTGAAGTGCTAGCACTTATGGCTATTGAAAAGGTAAAGGCATTTGGTTCAACCCCCTCCTGTCAAAATACGGTATACAAAAAATCAGCAATATGAACTTGTCATCTCAAGTTTTGATATTTTTCAAACATGAAATTTTGAATTTGAAGGCGTTAGGATAGAACAAACAACAACAACAGCAACGTCTCAAAGGCTCCCGCGCATTGCGGGGTACGGGGGTGGGGGGGGGTCAAATGTACCCAATGTACGCAGCCTCCCCCTATGTTTAAAACATAGAGTGACTATTTCTAGATGACCAATGACGAACGTCAAATGTTGCATTGACTACTTGCTACTTCATTATAAAAGTAAGTGAACACAATTTAGTGAACCATTTCGTTTTATTCCATCATACCCCAAAGCCAAAAAAATAGGGAATCTTTGGCTCCATGGGAAATGATAGAATGAAGGTGTTAAGATACACACATTTTTGTTTCCAAAGGCATGAAATAAACAATGCAGTGACCGGAGGGGCATACCAATATCATTTGCTTAAAAGTTTGAAGGCCAAAATAGCCATCTCCCCTGTGAGTGTATCCAGCAATCATTGTTGTCCACGACACATCATTTTTCTCACGGATTTCACTAAACACCGCACATGCGTCATCCATAGCCGTGGACAGGGTAGAATAGACATCCAAGAGTGCATTAGCAACGTACAAGCTTCCATGAACCCCGTGCTTGATTACCAGACCATGAACTAAACTGCCACAAGAAAGTGCCTTCATTCCTTTGCAGGCCTTCAAAGCGCTCGAAAACGTGAACTCGTTTGGTTGGACGCTAACATCTCGCATCATCGAATAGAAAACAGACCATCCCCGATGGTAGAGGCCGCAAGAAGTGTACCCGGATATCATGGCCGTCCAAGTAACAACATCTTTGTGAGGCATTTCGTCGAACAGTGTACATGCTTCTCTGACGAGGCCCTTTCTGAAGTAAGATTTCAGGAGATCGGTAGCAAAAAATGAGGCTGGTTTGTTGGAAATCTGCGAGCTTGAAGAATTGAAGTTCCAGCTTAGAGATCGTCGGATTGTTTGAGGAATAATTTTGGGAACGGTATTGGACAGTGCTCTGGCGTTCATTTGTTGGGCATGGACTTGTGTTCATTTCACTCTCTATAATAAGCTATGCGGATTAATAGGGGGTTTGACTCCAGATGATTAACTTTTCTTTTACTTCAAGTGTGTAATTTATACATAAACTTATAAACTAAAATATTAATCTAAAATTATATTAAGTACATACATTCATTACGGAAAAATTACAACAAAAAAAATGCAATGAAAAAAATGCAACGAAAAATAAAATAACAATGGAAAAAAGTACAACGAAAAAACTGTATTAAACTAGTTGTCCATGTTCTATTTTGTCCAGATTTCCGCCTTCACCTTTTCGGCATCTTCTCTTGGGCGCTCAAATACGTGATTGGCTAGAGTCTACAACATGCTCATGTCGTTGTTGGACATTAGCCGAATTCCTCGGTTGTAATCTTGTCCAACTTCTCTTCCAAATTGCTACTCCTTGTGGACATTAGCCGAATTCATCGGTTGTTAAGACCGGTCAATCAGCGAGGTTCGAGAGGCATGGAGTGCTCTTCCTCATCTTCATTGGAGTCATTCAAATTTATCTAGAGTCGAAAGGAGGAATGTCATCGTTGTGGCCACTCTCCCGTCTATATCAAATAACTTGAAGACATTCGCTTGCATGTCTCATCATTTACTCGAGATCGTGTTGCTTGTTCAGAATTGACCTCGACCCATCACCTCAAAAAATTGACTTCGAACCTGAGCCAAAAACTCTGATGATGTTATGTTTGTCTAAGACCTATAAAAAGTTTGCAGAATATTAAAAAGTATTTACTTTTTAGAAAGATTAAAGTATGATGTTTAAAAGGTGTTAAAAAATTAAAAAAACTGAATTCCAAAAAAGTACTAATAAAAGTTTATTTCTAAAAAAAATTTATAAAAAATATTACATTTATATACTAAAAGTATTAAAACTGCATCGAAGCAAATTTTGATTTTTATCTTTTGGTAGAGAAGCAACACACTCTCAATTTTCTATTAGAGGTTTGATAGAAGTTAAATCTTCTTTTGTTTAAGGTTAAAGATAGTCTTGAAATATTCATTTGTAAGCGGTAGAGATGGATGCTTTAAAACCTATATACTCATTGGCAAGGGGTGTTTGCCAAATCTAATTTTGGTTTTCTTGGTGGAGCCAAACAATGCTAGTGGAGGTTAAATCCTTAAGAAGAAGCCTTAAGGTACTGGAGTAAGGTATCTAAACCAGTATAAAATACTTGTGACATTTCTCTTTCTTGCTCTTTACTTTTCTGCTACCTCGGTTTTTATTTTTACTTTGTACTTTGAAAAAAGTTTTCAAATACACTAATTCAACCCCTTCCCTCTTCGAGTATGAACCGACTATCATGAATATTTGATTCTAAATTAAAGTCTCAGAGCTTTCAAGCTGGAGACTCTATGTTGCAAAAATGGATCGGAAAAGGTAGAGTAGCTCATTAGATGGTGAATTTTTTTAAGTCCTACGTATATGAGGGGTCATATATAGGGTCCATTGTGTTCAACTTGTTTTTAACTTATTACTTATTCTTATTAAAATCTACTCAAATCATGCTTGATAAGAAATAATTTTAAGTATGATTACAATCAAATCAGACTAGATTAAATCAGACCAGATTAAATCTTATCAGATCAGATCTAAAATAAATCAGATCCAATGAGATTAGATCAAACTAGATCTTTTAAAAAAATACTAGATTAGATCATGTGAATGGAACACAATAATATCCTTTATATATATTATTTGAGACTCGGGCTCAAAGAATGTTGACATGTGGCGGGTCTACTTGCAAGTTTTTTATGAGTCATCCGCCACCTTTGAAGAGTTTAATGACTTGACATTTTTATATTAAAATTTAGAAAGATCCAATTCTAATTAATATGCCTAATATATACGGAGTACTTTATACAGCGACTAGAATATAATTATGAAGTAGAATTAGGATGAGTAATTTTTAAATTTTTTTCTAATGTATTTTGATTAATTATAATGAGTACAATGTAAAAAAAACATCATAGTTCTTTCTACTGATAATATATGTTTAATTTATTTTTATGTAAATTAATTATTCCATTGAATAATAATAATAATAATACATTTAAGTTAGAACAAATTGAAAAGGTTAAAAAGGAGAAAGACTATTATAGACGTAAAGTATAAAAAAGTATCAAAATTACTTATTTTGATTTCTACCTCAATACTTCTCCCTTCTAACTATTATTGTCATTTGAGTTTACTTTCATCTTTTTTTATTGTGTATTCTAACGTCTAACATTTGATAATTTTAAAAATAATTAAAATTTTGATTCTAGGCATTTTTTAACTGAGAAAATTATAATATCCAAAGTGGACACTTAATCATATTGTTTAATATAGAGAGAATCGTGTGTATTTCTTTGGTGCACCTTGAGTGCATATCATTTTTGTGGACCTTCTCACATAAAATATATTTTTTTAATTTTTTTATTTTTAAAAACAAATACTTATTTTAGTAATAAAGAAATTAATACTTATTTTGCTCATATGTACGTCTATGGTACACCTTAAGTCCACCATAGAATTTGTCGAAAATCATTAATATGTTTAAAATGAAATTCATCTATTGAAATAAGACTTTCAATGCGTTAAACCAACGATAATAATTTTAGGATTATTGAAGATATTTTTTGAAAAAAATGCATACACAATGTTGACTACTTAAGTAAATTTTTTTTGGGGAAGCCTAATATAAATAAATAACCTTAGATATTTGAAGAAAATTATACTACTTCCGTCCCATAAAATTTTTCAAATACAAAGAAAGGCATCCCATAAAACTTTTCAAATTAGAAAAAAGGCGCACCCTAAAATCATTTATCCTACACATCATACCTTATTACCTTATTATAAAGTAAATGAAAAGTTTAAAAATAATATCAAAATTATATATTTTTAAAGGAGTTCAGTGTTATGTCATTTCCAGATGATAGTCTTCTTAATAGATTTCAAAATAATTTCTTGATTGAGAACTTGAACTATGACAANTTTTTGGGGAAGCCTAATATAAATAAATAACCTTAGATATTTGAAGAAAATTATACTACTTCCGTCCCATAAAATTTTTCAAATACAAAGAAAGGCATCCCATAAAACTTTTCAAATTAGAAAAAAGGCGCACCCTAAAATCATTTATCCTACACATCATACCTTATTACCTTATTATAAAGTAAATGAAAAGTTTAAAAATAATATCAAAATTATATATTTTTAAAGGAGTTCAGTGTTATGTCATTTCCAGATGATAGTCTTCTTAATAGATTTCAAAATAATTTCTTGATTGAGAACTTGAACTATGACAAGGAAAAATTGTCATTTAATTTTAGAGGATATTTATCTACGATGAATGAAGATCAAAGAAAGATATCTGATGTGATAATCGAAATCTAATATATAAAAGAGGAGGTTTCTTTTTAATATATGGTTACGGGAGACTTGGGAAAACATTTATATAGAAACCAATGTCTACTTCTCAAGAACGAATGGTATGTAAGACTGTTTTGAATGTTGCATCCAGTGACATTGCAGCATTGTTTTTGCATGGTGGAAGGATAGAACACTCGAGATTCTCAATCTCTCTGGCTTTAACTGAGTGCTCAATGTGTGCTATTAAACAAGGGGGGTCCGAAAAGAAGAATTAATCTAACAAGCAAGTGGAATCATATGAGATGAAGCATGTGTGATGAATAGATTTGTTTTTGAGTTATTGGATCACACAATGAGATAGATATTGAGATTCTACAATAATAACTCTAGAAATGAACCATTCAGAGGAAAAATATTAGTACTCGGAAGTGATTTTTGCCACTTCCTTCCAATTTTACCAAAGCTTTGAGAGAGAAAATTATAGGTGCTACCGTGATTTCCCCAAAATAGAGGTTGTATTGTAAAGTTTTTATGTTGAGCAAGAATAAGATATTGCATTCATCTATGTCCTCTTACCCAAATAGGAATACACAAGCTTTTTCTGATTGGATAATCAAAATTGGACATAGAAAGCTTGGTCAAGTGATTGGTGGAATTGCTGACGTTGAAATTCTTACTGGATTCTTGATTCTTGACATAAGTTATCCTCTCAAGAGTATAGTACTGTAATTCACTTATCTGAAGTTATTGGAGAATATGAAATAATATTCTTTTTTTAGGATTAGGCACCATTAGCACCTACTCTCGAAGTTGTTGAAATGGTAAATGAGTTTGTCTTATTCCTCATTCTCAGTGATGAAAAAGGAGTAATTGAGTTATGGTTCTTAATGGCAAGCAGATGTCAATGTAGGTGTTGATGCTTATTGGATAACATTTGAATTTTTGAATGAAATCAAATGTCTAGATGTTCGGGGATCCCAAACCAATTCAAATAATAGTTTTGAAAAAAGGGTACTGATTATGTTATTTAGATTGTATAATGGTACAAGATTAATTGTAAAAAGGTACGAAAAAATGTTAACCGTGCAATCGTGGTTTCAAAATATCGAGATGGGGAAAAGGTTTACATACCTCGAATAAATTTGGTACCATATGATCCAAGGCTACCCCCTAAAATTTCAAAAAAGACAATTCCCAATAGTTTTATGTTTTGCTATGGCTATTAACAAAAGTTATGGTGAAACATTATCTTTTGTTAGATTATTTTAACTACGTCATTATTCACTTATGATTAATTTTATGTTGTTGCTTCACGAGTGAAGAAAAATACATAATTAAAAATGTTTATTTTAGATGACAATAGAAACTCTTACAACCATACCAAAAATGTTGTATACTCTGAAGTGTTTCAAAAAATTTGGATTTTAATAAGTCTTTTGTTTTGTATATACTTTCAATTCTTCAAATATTATTTATTCTATTTTGATGTTGATGTATATATAGTATTAAAAATCATCTAAGAAATTTATTTTATTTAATCCACAAAAAATAATACATGAAAAAAAGAATTGAAAAAAAATTTGTTCGGCCCAGTGCATGGCACGGGTCAAAATACTAGTTTAAGGATGTAGTGCACTCGAGGATTTTAAAAATCCTACACAATTCATCTCGGTAGGATTTTTATATATTCTACACAATAGATGAATTTCTTAGGAGAAGGACAAAAGCCTATGAGCAAGATAGTAAATGATAAAATCACAGAACCCTTGTTTCGTGTGTGAACGCTATAAAAATATTCAAGACCAACTCCTACAAGAAAAATGTAAAAAGTATTAAAAGAAGTACCTTGAATAACTCAAAAATGGCTAGAGAATGTAATAAGATTAAATGAGATATTCTTTGTTTGAAAGAGGAGCTTAGAAATGGTTGTAGTGTAGGAACTAATCAACATAGGTAAGTAAATGTTTAGAGTCGTTGAGAAGTGATTTAGGATTGATTAGATCCAAAAAAAGAAGTTGAAAAACTCTACAACAAATACAGTACCTATACTGGTATCAGTATACCCTCACGGTAGGGAGGTACCGGTCAATCGGTAGGAGATACCATACTGTCTCAAGGAAGAACTCTATGGTGTTCCCTACCTCAATGGTACCACCATACCGTTAGTCCGGTAACCATGAACCGTAAGCTTGGTTCTAGGGTACCGCACGTCAGTAAGTGGTTTTAAAAATAAAACTTTGTTTTTCATTTGGTTTTCAAATGACCCTTCTCCAAAAATGTTGTGGAAATACTTTAAGAATATATTTCGGTGCAAGGGAAAGAGTGATTACATTATTCCAATCATACCATTAACATTTCATCTACCTATGCTTGTCTAGAAACCTTCCTAACAAGTTTAGTGAGGTTAAAGTGTTTGGTTGATCTTGTAAAAGTGTGAGTAACTTCGAAGTCTTATTTGGCACATTAAAACTACGAGAATTGGCATTCAAGACCGACAATTTCTTGACTTGCATGTATTAATTCTCTACTCTGTAGGTACCTACCTTCTTCTCTCCACTCCTCTAGGAAATCCAAGTCGATCACCTCGTTTGCTTCATTCACTTCTAGATCACACTCTTTGCACATTCTACTTGGGTGAACCACCTCAGTGGGAGGCTCCAAAGGTATTCTTTTGTGGCCTTCCGAGGGGTTGTCCTAGCTCTTGTTCTTGAGTCCATTCATTATGGCCTGATTATCATTCTCAAGTTTACTATTGATATATTGATAAGAAACATAGGCCATGTTATGAATTGTTCCAAAGACTGCAAAATGCACCAAAGCCTTTGGAATCAAACTGTCTTCCAATGTTCAATATGATCTTCACAAGAATGCCATATATACACAAGATATATTTGCCAATGAACATTTTCACTTGTGCTCTAGTGTTACTCGCTGGTGGAATGGCCTCCACTAATTGGACCCCCCACATGCCCCCCCCC